GTACCACTGTTGAATAGAGGCTCGAAAAAACTCCATTAACATAGTAATGGGTAATTTCCGGGAATGACGACTTAGAGCGTTGATTGATTCTGCACTATTAGACGTCATGAAACCATATCTTTCTCCAAGTTGATGTACTCTTGACCATCTTTCAAACCCGACATCTTCTATTGTTTGAGCACATTGAGGCAAAACACGTCTTAAACAATTTATATGCTTATTAAAATCCACTTCCCGATAAGCTTTTACAGCCTTTCAGTATGCCTATTTGTGATTTTTTATACTAGCGGACCTTGATTTTAGATTTCTGTACAAATAAACACCACAAAGTCCATGAAAAGCATCTGGGAAACACCTTCTAACAGCGTTGTCAATTGAGTTTGCCCTATCGGATATGATTATCAGATTGCTAATAAGACCTATGTAATCCCTAAGATGCCCCGCCCCATAAACCATGTCCATGAATCAGAGGTTTCAGATTTGCCAACCCCGTAAGCTATTGGCAGTATCCCATTATTAGCATCCATGGCTACTGCAAAATAAGTTTACTCCAAGGTATCGACCTTTCAAATGTGCTCCATCAACTATAATAACTGAGCGCATGCAAGTAATAAACGAACGAATCTACAAAATCATATACACAAGAAATATAATCATTTAAATGTGAAATGCATGCAACTAAAAAAAATGAGTAAACAATATTATAATTATTTACTAAACGCGGCACCAATGGCGATAAACAACAATTCAAAGCGTCCATCTCTATCTGTTTTGATATGAGTTACCGACCCATGATTTTTCAGCTTTAAATTGTGACAATAAGACGGCAGTTGGGCAAACGATGCTTCTGGCGACCCCCTCAACAATTCCAAGGCATAACATTTGGCTCTCCAAGCTTGAGAATATAAGATAATAATCTTGAACCGAGCATTCATGTCAGTCATAATTTCATGTCCCTGATATACCCTTCCATTCAAAAACATTAACTCAGCTAAAAAACCACCCAACACCTTTTTGTTTACCTGTCTATGGTGAGGAAAAACTTGGGTTCTTGAACATGTATGTTTATCAATAAAAGTTCTAACTTGAAACATTTCGTAATTTTTTATCCTCTTAGCAATCATACGCCACGTACAATTTTTGTCAATCATACACCTTGTTTCGAAACGATCTTTGCTTGATTTGTTAACTTTTAGTTGATAGCCATCTTCCACACATTTTGTATACAAAGCTATCTTCAAGTCTTCCTTTGTATCAAAACAATCATCTTTCTTGATACGAATAACTTTTGTGTAACAATCAACTGATATCTTTACCAACTCTTCTTCCGGGTATCTGAAGTAATTCCGGCATATTCCAGTTATACTCCCGTGTCATTTTCTTCTTTTTTCTTTCTTCGGGGACTTCTTCTTATTCTTTTTTTTCTTCTTCAGGGTTATATGAATTACAGAATGGATGTTCAACATGTTCATTCACAGTCGTAAATTCCTCCTCATTATCATCAACAACATCTTCCTCGGCAACGGCTGTTTCATTATCAAAATTCAGATTTTGACCAATATCAAAATCATTACATGCATGGTCTGTTTCTTCTTCCATCATATCATCAAAATCCGAGTATTGACCAAGATCAAAGTTCGGGTATTGACCAAGATCAAATTTCGAATACTGACTAGTACTCACAATTTTTTTCTGTTGGCTCATAATCGTCTAACTGGTCAATACGAAAACCAGAATTTGGTGCTGAAAGTTGATTGGGATTTGGATTAGGAAAATGTTGTGGGTTTTGAGATTGTTTTTGGTATTGGAAATGTGGTGAAATAAAATTTGCTTGGTGATGAAATTGTGCTGGAACCATTAAATTTTGGGTTGAAGAACTTAGTTGATTACTACTCGCTACTGACCCAACTTCACTACTTCTAGGTTCAACAACATATAATGTAACATCATCTTCTTGCGAAACACTAATGTAAGCAATGAATCTTTCAACATCTTCATTGTCGGTTAACAAATAAACTTTACCTTTTCTCAGATAAGATAGGCTAAATCCACTTAGAGGCTCTAAATTCAATTTCTTTGCAACACGTAAAATTAGAGTTTCATAAGTTAACTTTTTTAATGACAGTTTTAGTTGAAGATTCGTGGGTAAAGGCACATATTGTAAAACACCATGAACATTCTCCCATGACCCTCCAAAACACAAATCTATCCAAACATGATCAACATTAGATGATTTCATTCTAAAAATTGTAAATTAATTTACTAAACAAATGAGCTATAAACTAGATATCATCACTAACTTAGAGAAAAACATACCTTTATTAAGTTGATAGTTGATAATTTGGGAGAGAAATCATTGAAAAATTATATAAAAATAAAATTATGTAAAAAAAATAGAGATGGGGAAGGATGTCGTTGGATATAGGAATGGATGTCGCCGGAGAGAGTGATAGATGGAGATGGAATGAGTTGTGATTTAGGGATTTAGGTTATGAGAACTGCTGCTGCGTTGTTATATACCCAAAACATTTGTGTTGCGAAATTAAATTCGCGTTGCGAATTTGAAATTCAGTTGCGAATTTGACTTTCACGTTGCGAATTTGACTATCGCGTTGCGAATTTGACTTTCGCGTTGAGAATTTGACTATCGCGTTGCGAATTTGGAATATCGCAAATCGGATTTAGAAAATCGCAACGCGGATTTAGAAAATCGCAACGCGAATTTGGAAAATCGCAACGTGAATTTGGAAAATCATAATGCGATTTACATATTCGCGTTGCGAAATTGAAAACTGGTTTGCGAAATTGGAATTCGCGTTGCGAATTTGTTGGTCATTTTGACAAATCCAAAAAAAATGATTAAATTCGTATATTATAATTTATTTTTGTCACTGAGGTTATTTTCTCCTAAATTTAATGGGCTAACCCAAGTTTAATGGGTAAATGATTTAATGGAGATTTAATAGTAATGAACAGAAGAAGATGAGAAAGTTGTTGGGATGCAGAAATAAATGTGCAAGCCGGTGTCAGTTCCAGACATGGCTTTGGATGTACTATGTGCTATGAGAGTTTTGACACACACGAGAAATGGACGAATATTTTTATTCTCAAAACTCAAAAACTAAGTTGTAAATTCATGTGAGTAGAGATTGAGATCATGAATAACTCACTCGATGATGCAAATTGTTGTGATTTTCGAACGGAGGGAGGGGACGAAGGGGAGAGAGACGGCCCGTGGGGAGGAGAGGGATGGGATGGGGCAGTATAATTTTTTTAAATATTTTAAAAATAATATTTTATTTTTTAAAATAAAAATTTCAAAAAAATATAAATATAACTTATTTCATTTAACGATAATTTTTAACGGTCATTATAATCGAAGACTTTAAATGATATTATATGAAACATTATATAATGATTGAAAAAAATTAACGTAAACACCTAAACAAAAAAAGGGCAAAGTATAATAATGGTCACTGAACATTTTGAAGCTTGCATTTAGGTCCTCCAACTTTTAAAACTTGCAATACAGTCCCTCAATATTTAATCCGTTTGCAATATGATCCCGCACCTATAAAAATTAGGGTAAATTATATAAATGGTCACTAAACTTTTTAGGTACTTGAATTTAGGTCCCTCAACTTTTAAAACTTACAAAACAATCCTCAATTTCATTCTAAACCACAAATTCCAAAGTAATTCAATTTCATTCTAAACCCTAAATTCCAAAATAATTCAATTACTTTCTAAAACCCAAATTCTTAAATACTTCAATTTCTATCTTTTTTATAAACGACGCCAATGTCACTAAATTATTAATTAATTTACTTTTTATATTTAAAAACATATGATAATATTTTAATATTAATTTAAAGACATGAAAATTTTTCAATAGTAAGAATATGATAATAATTCATTTATTAAAAATAAATATATTTTTCAATAGTAAGAATATGATAATAATCATTTATTTAAAAATAAATATTTCTGATTTGTGTATGTTTTATATCTAATCATACGTGTTAATATATTTTATATCTTTCATATAAAATATTAAGATTACATAAATAGCAGAGTCAAAAATATTATATGAGTTATGTTAATTATAGTAATGATGTATAAATATATTTTATTTTTATATTATTTCTATTATAATTAAAATATAAATATTACCATATTAATATTTATTTTATTACATCGATATTTTTGTAGAAAAATTATTAAATCATAAAAAACGCAATAAAAAAATAAATACTGAAGTTGACTACTTCAAAAATAAAATAAAAAAATCAATAATTTATATAATATACCCTAAGTTTGATGATAATCAACTCAAAGAGATGGGTTTGTGTCATGTTTTTGTAACGTACGTAAACCTATTTCATGGTCACGTATTCTTTTTTTTTTATTCATTTTCTTCCATAATCATTTTTTATATTTAAATTATTGAATGTCACTAAATTTACATTTACGAGGAGGGAGTGTATTTTTTTTTCTTCACAAAAGTAAAAAAATCAAAACGCTATCACGTTCTTAAAGATAATCTAGTATATTCCTCCTTAAATTGAAATATTTTAGAATTTGGGTTTTAGAATGTAATTGAATTTTTTTGGAATTTAGGGTTTAGAATGAAATTGAATTATTTTGGAATTTGGGGTTTAGAATGAAATTGAGGAATGTTTTGTAAGTTTTAAAAGTTAGGGGATCTAAATTCAAGTGTTTGAAAAGTTCAGTGACCATTTATATAACTTACCCTAATTTTCTTAGGTGCGGGACTATATTGCAAATGGATTAAATGTTGGGGGACTATATTGTAAGTTTTAAAAGTTAAGGGACCTAAATGCAAGTTTCATAAATTTTCAGTGACCATTACTATACTTTACCCATAAAAAATATAATTTAAACAGTTACTTTTATATTAATTTTTTAAAAAGTAATATTTCACTTATTTAACCAGCAACAGAATCCATTTTATTTTTAATACAGGATGCGTCCAAACAATGGATTTGCAAATAGAAAACAGACGCTGTTCCCAGTTCCTTACAAGCAATGTCATAATTGGCAACCCCACATTGAAAGATTGAAACCTGAGACCAACTACTCACCAACCACCACGATCTCAACCCCCTGTCTCTTTGGGCAAAAAAAAAAAAAAAACTTGATTTTCTTTTGTTTTTGGTTTTCTGATATGGCAGATGAGCCCTTTCTCTCCCCACAATCAAAACCCCAACTTCGACACCTCCTCGAAGACCCTCATCATGGCTTCTATTTCACAATCCCACAGTCAATCTCCACACCAGCTCTTTTCCCATATGAAATCGAAGACAATCCACAGATTCAATCCCCCCTCGTCTGATTATCCTGATCCCAGTACGCGATTAAAGAGACCCAGTTCTCTCAAGCGATGTAAAACAGCTCCTGCAATGGCTGTCATGCGTGATTTGAAGCCCAAGACACCCCAGGTTCCCAAACCTCAATCCGAGTCCAGCACCATTATCAGGCAAGCTGTTTTCTTGCTTTCCATCTACTTGATACTCGGTGTTGCTATTTATTCGTTAAACAGAGATGAATTCTCGGGTGTCGAGACTCACCCGGTTGTCGATGCTCTTTACTTCTGTATAGTCACTATGTGTACAATTGGTTATGGTGATATAGCCCCTTTAACCCCGGCTACGAAGATTTTCGCTTGCGTTTTTGTATTGGTGGGTTTCGGTTTTATTGATATTTTGTTGAGTGGGGTTGTGAATTATGTTCTTGACTTGCAAGAAAACATGATTTTAACTGGGATTCAGATGGAGAAAACGAATCGAGGGTTTTCGGCTAGGGATTATATTGTCGATGTCGATAAAGGAAGGATGAGGATTAGGCTTAAGGTTGGTTTGGCACTTGGGGTTGTGGTTTTGTGTATTGCAATCGGATCTCTGATTTTGTACTTTGTGGAGAGCTTGGACTGGGTTGATTCTGTTTACTTGTCTGTTATGTCGGTTACTACGGTTGGGTACGGTGATCGGGCGTTTAAGACTCTGCCCGGAAGGTTGTTTGCCGGTGCTTGGCTTCTGATTTCGACGCTGGCTGTTGCTAGAGCTTTTCTGTATTTGGCTGAAGCAAGGGTTAACAAGAGGCATAGGAGGATTGCTGAGTGGGTGTTGCAGAGAGAGATCACTATTGAGGATTTGCTAGCTGCTGACATCAATAACAACGGTTTTATCAGGTTGGAGTTCGATCTTTATAGCATATTTCCGAATGAACTTGACTCGATGCTTGTTGCCAGAATTGTAGCAAATTTAGAAAGGTGATGCGCTGGTTAATTTCCAGTCCCAAAAAAACATGTTTGAAAGAAATCACCCTAAAACTAGCACTATGTTTTTATATCATCTATTAGATGCCTCAAGCTTGATACTAAATGATCATTGCCTGTAAGGTACCTAATCGCAACTAAAGAATCACTTTTAATCTCTACATGCCTGACCTGCATTCCTAGAGCCATTCAATACCAAAAAAAATCACTTCTGTCAAAAGTGTGCCCGTATGGCGAGCTTGTATCTACAATCTTGCTGTAATGAAGAACCCCGTTTGCCTATCTTAAAACCACCCCAAACCAAATCATTTTACTGCATCTACACATCCTGCATCAACATTTTATTTACAGAAACCATGTGGTAATAATGTTTTTGTTTTGTTCGATTTTCCCTTTACACCTTCAAATTTCTCATCGCAGTAAATCGGAGTATGTCATCTACAAGCTCAAAGAAATGGGAAAGGTTGAGGAGAAGGATATATTGCAAATATGCGATCAGTTCAGCAAGCTTGATACTAATAACTCAGGGAAAATAACTCTTCCCGATCTCTTAGAAAATCACTGGTGAATCTGAGCAGATAAAGTTAATTATTATTCACTTGGCTGGTGATTCTAGCCTCTGTCATTGGAAATGGGCGTTGCATGTAAAATTGTGTATCCATTCAAGTTAGAAATCCCAATTCTATGATTTTTGTCGAGCTGTTGTGATGTAAAAAAAGAAAATGGAATTGGCAAGAGAGAAAAGGGCAACAAAATGCTTCTGATCTCATTCATATTCTAATTGTAAAATCTTTGTTTCCTATGTATTCATCATCCGGACTCTTGAGATGTAATGAAAAGTAAATATTATTCCAAAATGATGCTTCCTTTTACCTTCATGTTCTTTTTTATATCACAAGTAGTTTGCAAAGGTTCTTTTCACTGTATGGGCAGCTGGGAGATCTTCAGGTAAATAGTATTCCTAATTGTTGCAGGTAAATTCTGTTTATTTGAAGATTCCGGTGGACATGTCATGCTAATGGCATTATTAAATTCTTAAAAGTAATTTATTTGGTAAGAGTTAACGCATCATAAGAGATTGTGAGTACTATCAGATGGAATTGTAGTACATGTTGATCCCACCAGAAAACGTTCTTCTTGTACTGCCAACCGGCACTTGAAGTTGCTAGCACAGAGTCAGTTTAGTACATGTACTGTAAACTTTTTGGTGTTTTAGTATAAATAGCTCAGATGACAGCAGACAGCCATAGACATCAAAAGTGATACACCGAGCCAAGATGAGGTAAGAGATCGATAAAGATGGGAGAGAAGGACAAAGACGGGGAAAAGGCTGAACATGGATGGATCTACCAACAGATTCTGTTGGTTCTCCAGCCATGCACCTCCATTTTCTCCTCGTCTTGGTTTTTTTTTAATCTTGTTCCTTTCCTTTTAACCTTATTCCGTTTCGGGAGTTTTCTTTATTCTTATAAGGTAGTGATTGAATGTAGATCCAGGTTCATGATAGTTGCGCTTAACAAGAGGCTAAGGTAATTGTAGTGACTTTTGTTGTGCCTCTACGGCCCCAGCTCTTTCTTCTTCTTCTTCATTTTTTCTTGCTTTGTTGAAGATTAACCATTCTTGCAATCCAGATAGTAGAGGGAAATGAAACAATAAGACTTGAATGCGCATCACTTTCGTGGCCGGAGATAGTGGACAGGAAGAATTTCAGGGTCTGCCTCAGCTGTAATGTTATGTGTTTGCTTCGATTTTGTATTGTATCTCATGATAAGACTTAACCCACCAGAAAAAGGAAAAAAGCTCTCTCATTCTAAATTCTGGGTGTTTGTAGCTTCATAATAAATGGTTTTTATGAAATCAAGTTTCTCGTTTAATCATGATTGTAAGTAAGCTACCTTCATGTTGATTTCGGAATTGGGAGACGCTTCTTCAAAGAGAACCATGCATATTAAGCATTAAGTCTTAAGCACATCATACTAATCAACTGCAAATAAACAAGGCCAAGAACAATTTCTGCATCAGAATCGATACATTAACATACCCTGCACTCTTATGGGACGTGAGTTTTGATAAACCAAATCTGCTTTCATAAACCAGCAGTACAGTAGCTCTAGGGATCAATTTATGTCCAACCGAACCAGCAACTGTAAGTGGAAAAACTATAAAACATCAGACAATATTCACCTTACTGCAACTTTAAATCTGCCTTGACTAATGGATTGCAAGAAAAATGAAGATAACAAAAGCTTATGATTTTGAATATTCATCATCATAGATGTAGAACTATATAATCATAGCAGAACCATTTATCCAAATTACAAAATCTGATATGAAGTTGAATTACTCAAAACACAGTCCATTAAGAGAAATAAAAGCCAAGAAAACCAAGGGGGAATATAATCATAGCAGAACCATTTATCCAAATTACAAACTCTGATATGAAGTTGAATTTCTCAAAACACAGTCCATTAAGAGAAATAAAAGCCAAGAAAACCAAGGGGGAAATAGATTAGAGATATTTGATTTTATGACAAGTCAAGTTTGAGCCGGAAATTGGCTCAGTTTCTAGGGTCAACAAATTCTCAGATGCATGTATATGAAAGACGACATGGATATGAAAATGAAGGAATTGATGCAGAAGAAGCTGGCAAGAAAGAAAGATTGATATGTACTTGTTATCATCATTAGTCCAGCAAACAGATTGAGTGCAGTCGACTTGAATACACGGCTGCCTTTTGCTCAGTTCATGGTCGAGTTTACCCGATTCGATAAACTGCAAATCCTCCAAGAGTATCACATAACGTTTATGCACATCTTCTGCAGTTTTTTTCCCTCCAACCATGGCAGCAACCACTTCCCAACGATCCGGGTGTCGTTCATCGACCACAGCTAGAGCCAGCTCAAACAACTTGTTCTCCTCCCAGCTCCAACCACACAAAACATCCGGAAACTTATCCATATGACACCCTTCGCCTTGGATTGATAGATAACCGTTCTTTTGAGGCAATTAAGGAAGAAGACTTAGTAATTGCTTTGCATTCTAGGATTCATCGAAGAACAAGAGCTTGAGGGGAGCAACTTGTTTGATTCTTCAGACCAGATTCTAACACCCCAATGTCTTTGGGAAGGTGTCAGATACCTGTTTTTGAGCAGCAAATCTTCCCTTTTTGTTTTGTTTTTCTTTTTTTCAGATATAACAGGGTGGAATTTTGTTTAGTTTAGATCTAACCACGGCCAAAAATATTATATTATAGTTTTCAATCAATCAGGGTCTAAAACGGGAAAATCAAAGGAGGAAAAGAGACAAAACTTAAGGACTTAAAGTAACCATTTCTTGCCATACGTATAGCCTCGGATTCTAAATATTCTTAGATCCGGCAATACAGCATTTTCATGAAATATTAAAAAGTAATTAAAAAAAATCAATAATGGAAAAGAATCTGTCATGATTTTATCTTCAAACCAATGAAAACTTTTCCCATTTCCCCCAAATTTTTCTACCTTGAAGCTCAAGAAAAAGACTTTTGTGGGTTGGATCAAATCTTGCTAGATTTTTTTGATCAGAAGTTTCAATGCAATTACAGTTGAGACCTTGGAAGTCGTTTCAAGGACGTTTTAATGGGTAGAAAAGATTGGTTATAGAAGAAAACCTTCCATTTCCTTTCCCCCTCATCGTTGGCCGCTGAAAACTAATCCCCATCCAACTGTTCATTTATGAAGTTTCTTAGGGTCAGGTTTGCTTTTAAATTGATGTGTTAACCTGTCCCCTTCAGTCCGGACACTTTTGGAACCTAAGGATTTAACCATAAAATGAGGAGAATACCATACCAATATGGAGTGTGAGATTAAAATATAGTCCGAACTAGAGATGATAACGGGTCCAAGTAAAATGACCATCCCAACTTCGAACCTACTCTTTGTACATTTGACTTCAAACCACTCTTCGTACATTTGAATTTTCATTTTATAATTGAATGAGCAACCTGTAGTTTACTCTATATAATATTTTAAATATAATTATCGTAAAATATGCTTTTTATATAAATATCATCTAAAGAAAATTTTGATTTTTTCAAAGTAACACATTTTCCATGCCTCCCACAAAATGATTTCAATCCAAAGAGCAAGAAAGGTAAGAACGTGCCCCACCTTCCACGCATCAAACCAAATCCCATCCACTCTTTTTATTTGGCTTTGATGGTAGACAAGTGGTCTTATTTTAGGTAAATTAATTTACATGATTATATATTTTTAATCTAAATTCAAATAGCAATATGAATAATAAAATATTCATATTTTATAGCAAGTTTGTATATTCGTTAAAATATCATGAACAGTTCAATACTAGTCCTATAAGTCGTTGGCCCAGAAACCATTCTTAGATTTAGAGAGAGATTAATTGCAAACCTGTAATGCATGACTATCGAGTCTGCTAGAAATTTGTGGGGACAATAATACAAAAAGTCAACTATAATTAACCCTAAAATACTTGTGTTAACACACTACATCATGATGAAATTGTAAATCTGTAATTGTTTCGAGAACAATCAGTGAAAAAAAAATACAACATGGGATGGGACACGTCATGCAAGACATGTGCATCACCAAAAAGAATTAGAATATTCAGTAGGTCCTGATTGCAAGACAACAAAGAGTGTTGACCCTTTTCATGAATGGAAATGAGATGGTAAATGACAAATTCTAAGACCAGTAATATAGGTCATTGAGCAGAACTGAAGGTAGCAATTGCATCCATTTCCTGTTGCAGAAGAAGAGCATCAACAAAGACGTCCAAATTTTCTCCCTGCATCACATCATCTATCGCATGATACGTGATGCCAACACGATGATCGGTGACTCGGCCTTGTGGGAAGTTATAGGTTCGAATGCGCTCAGATCTGTCTCCACTACCAATCTGTTTATATCAGTGATCAGTATCCACTAATGTAGATTTCAAGGACAAAAGACCGAATTTCATTTCATGGTAACACATACCTGTTCAGATCTAAGTTTTGATCGAGATGTATGAAGTCTAGACCTCTCCATTTCATACAGCTTTGCACAGAGCACTTTAAGTGCCTTGGCTTTGTTCTATCATATGAAGCAAAAAGGAAGAAGAGAGTTACTAAAGCATCAGGATAAACATATCCATGGATGATAAGAGGGATGATAATGTTATAGAAAACCATCCAAATTGATATTTCAGTGCTTTACACCCTCTCTAACATATAATCCATATATTGTATACTTAAGAGACTTCAAATACGCCATATATATCAGTAATCAGAAACTCTCAAAAACTATAACTACCTATGCTCACAGAGGAAATCTAGTTGATACAGAAATACTAATTCATTTGCACAGTTTCATATTTTATGCATGTGGATACCTATTGAGCTTCGAACGGCACAAAAGAGCTCTCTCTCCCCCATCCCAATATTCGAACTTCAGAAGTAATCCATAACATTAATAGGGCAATAAAATTGACAGAAGGTTGAAGCTAGCATGTTGACTAAGAGATGTGAAAGAAAAAGTGAGCATGCATCATAAACTTTTTAAATGAAAAACCTTTTTCCACGTTTAGATCATATTGAAACAAATTATCACACAATATGGAAAAATGGCGTTTTGAGAGAAGATCTAAACTACAACATATCAGTACTCTACCATATGCTGGGATCGTTCATCCTGTATGGATACTAAGCTAGCATGTTGACTAAGAGATGTGAAAGAAAAAGTGAGCATGCATCATAAACTTTTAATGAAAAACCTTTTTCCACGTTTAGATCATATTGAAACAAATTATCACACAATATGGAAAAATGGCGTTTTGAGAGAAGATCTAAACTACAACATATCAGTACTCTACCATATGCTGGGATCGTTCATCCTGTATGGATACTGTTATACCAGTGGGAAAATGTGTGATTCTGACTGCACTGTTGGTGGTGTTTGCATGTTGACCGCCAGAACCACCAGACCTGTAAGTATCGATTCTCAAATCTTCATTTCTTAACCGGACATCTACCTACATAACCTCAACAAGAACATTAGTCAAAACAGGCAAAAAGGATATCTTTTGAAAACTAGTAATGAGAAAAATTTAATTATGAAAAGTTTTCAAATACTAAAGGTTAACTAGTATACTCAACAGAATGTTCAACCAAATACATCTAACAACCTTTCAAACAGATTAAAAAACAACAAAAACAAAACAAATGAAGCACAAATCAAATCCTTAAGCACCTCATCAGCCTGAGGGAGAATAGCAACTGATACAGCACTAGTGTGTATACGTCCAGACTTCTCAGTCACCGGAACACGCTGTGCAAAGAAACTCCATGTAAGTTTAGAAGTTATGCTTAAAAGCCTTTACATTGCATGTAAAAAGTCAGAAACAAAACCTGAACTCGGTGAATTCCACTCTCAAATTTAAGTTTCCCATAAACACCAGATCCTGATATTGCTGCACTAGCTTCCTGATAAGGAGCACAAGAAGTCAAGGTTCTGTGATGCAGACAGAAGATGGACTCCAAATATGATTCCTCAAAGTTCAGAAAGATCGACACCCTAGAAAATGCAGAATCAATACCTTATATCCTTTCAGATCAGACTCTGCTATATCCACCACTTCGAACCTCCAACCCTTCTTCTGTGAATATCTCTCATACCTGTCGTAACCATGCCAGGAAAAAACTCCCAGATTATCAGCTTCTAGACACAATTCATGATTCCCCAAAGACAACTGTATTGGCTTACATTTTGAATACATCCATTGCAAACAAAGAAGCTTCCTCCCCACCAGTTCCTGATTAAAAAAATGGGGGGAAATTAACAAAAAGAATGACAGAAACCAGCATTCAAGTGAACATCTCAACATACAGTCGTTACCTGCTCTGACCTCCAAAATGCAGTCCCTCTCGTCAGCATCATCCCTAGGAAGTAACGACTTGAGTAGCAAGTTCTGCAGTCTTTTCTCTTCCTCCAAAGCCTTATGCAAATCCTCAGTTGCCATCTCAAGCATATCTTTATCATCGGAGCTTTCAGCCATCAACGTCCTCAAACCATCTATCTCCTACTTAAAATGGGGGGAAAAAAAGCTTAAAACGGCATCCACGTAGGACAAAATCAGTAAATCACAAACTAATAGAAACTAAAGAAAGCATTAAAATAGCGCATAAAGATACCCCTAAGGCTATATCGCCCTATATTATCATTCATCAACCCAGGTGAACTTAACTGAATACAAGATACATGATACCATCAACCAAGGTAGAGAAAATGTCACCAAATCAGAGGATAAAACCGTCCGAACATTAGTACGAGAAAGGAAATGAAGACAAAAATTATACCTTCTGTTTGGTTCTCAACTCACTGATAAGGTCCATTGAGTCCCTAAGTTTTCGAAGCTCTTTGTTAGCCTTGGAATACTCGGTTGGTGAGGCTTCCGGCTGTCTTCAAACAAGCCACCAAGCTCAATTAAAATAAAACAAAGATCATAATACAATTAAATAGAATCATTAAAGAGAAAAATGAGATTTAAAGATATAACCTGGTTTATGAAATTCTCGAGAAAAGCACTCCTATGCTCAATAGCAACCAATCTTTGTTCCATGATTTTTAGAAGGTCAGATGAAACCTGAGGTTGCAGCTCTGCCCATTACCAAAAAATTGTTACAATTTATCGAAAACAACACTTAAATTTGAACTTTTTTTCTGAAACAGAACTAGTAAGAACATAGAAAGGCTCACCGGTGGAATAATAGCGACAAAAGGATAGAAAAATGTTCGGAATCGCTGGCAAAACAAAAGATCTTTCATTGCAAGGATTGGGATATGATTTTGCTACTTGAAATTGCCTCAATAAATTGATGCACCGGCTAAACCCTTGACTGAGTTTCATAATTATTTCTCTTTTCTTCAGTTCGCCTTATCGAATGCTAAGCTCTGTTTGTTGTTCAGTTTCCGGCGGAAGTATTGCCCGTTGCGAGTTGCGAACTTGTCGCCTGCTAGTGATGGAAAGAAAGTTAAGGGCCATGAGAAAGCGGCCCACATCTCATCTACGATCGGAAAAGATAGAGGCCCAGAAACTCAGAGTTCAGATCCAACGATGGCAAAGTAATTCAGATCTAATGGATTTTAATCTGATCAAACTTTACTAGGGTGGATTTTCTTGTTTGAAAACAGGATTTGGGGCAAGACCGTTTGGTTCTCCCCTTTGTGAAGATCAATAAATTTAAACTATGTTAAACTTCGTCTATTATGTGTGATTTATTCAATGTTAATCACAAGTTTTTTTTTCACTTACTGATTCATAAGTGATATTAAAGTTATAATTTGAGTCTTCACTTAAAACGATCGGTTAATAGAGACATTAAATCACGACATTAAAAGAATTTTTTGAGTTACACCAGATTTTGAAATATATATTGAGTTATGATATTCAACAAATTCATGTATTTGTATTCTTTTAGTTTATTCTTTTCTTCTCTACATTTATAAATTTGTGTTTCTCTCATCTATATAGATAGAATAAGATCAAATCACATTTAAATGATATGTTATTTATTCCATGCTGATATCGAATTATTTTATTTTCTTAACAAAATCATATATAGGGAAAGGTCAAAGTGAGGTATGATATTAAAATTGAGTTCAGATTGTTGAGTTTACATCACCGAACACAAATGGCTTCTATCCAACTTTAAATATGTACTTAAATGGAATCAATGATACAAGAACAACCATATTTCCAAGGCACAAGCATTATTGTTCATAGACAGTCCTTTTTCTAGAACTAAATACAGCACTTAGATCTCCATAGTTGAATCGATTATTAGTGTAGACACCCATTTTCTTAAAAGATAGAACTAACAAGAGTTCATCTCCTAAGAGGATTCTTCCACCACCATATCTTTTAAAACAACAACCACACCAACAAACGTGCAACAACCAGCAAGGAGTCTAGTTGCATTAGGATTCTATTGTTAATAGGATTCTAAAAATAGTTAATTTTTTTCACTATAAATACATGTAATCCTCCCCATTTGTGAGAGACGATTTAGATACAAAATACAGAGGAAAGCACGGAAAATACAAAGGCAAAGCTATTGTAAACGATTCGAAAATGAAATAAAATGTAGCATTTTTTTTACATTAATTCGTTCATTCTCGCATGTGCATGTTATTTTTCTTGAGATTTGGTTTAAATAATCCAAAGCGTGGGTTGCGCCGATGACCAAAAAGGGGTGGGGTTTCGAAGTTTCGAACCTATATCTACTCCCGAGGCATGTTCATTTTTTAAATTATTTAATATTTAATTTACCTTGAAATTACCCTTTAATTTTACTTTTATATTAATTTCGTTCCCTATATATATATTTTTAATTATATTCTTTTATTTATTTACTATATTCTTTTTTTTTATATTATATTATTTATATTATATATATCTTATATCATTATATATAGATGTATTAATTTTTCTCCATTTACTATGTATATATATATTTTCTTAATATTATATTTTATACGTTTTTATATATATTTTTTCTTAATATTCTATTTTTGTTTTCATTTATTTATATATATATATTATATTTTTACTTTATTTTTTTTCTATTATTTTTTTTTAATATCATGTATATCTTTATTTTTTATTTGTTTTATTTAGTATTATATATTTATTATTTTTATTTGTTTTAGTAAATACTACTTTATGTGTATACATTATTTTTATTCCTTTTTAATTTCTTTTACCTTTTTTATTTTTTTACTCCATTAATATTTTTCTTTATCTGCGTCTTTGTTTTTTAATATTTTATTCATTTTGTTTATTTTTATTTTTTTTTATTTTTGACGTGTTTTTGTTATTTTCCATTTTTTCTTGTTTTATTTATTATTCTCACGTTTGCACACTTGTTATCCTAATTCGATTTTATACTCCGCTACGAGTCAAACGTTTTTATCTTTTAAGGGTATTCAAATCAATCAATTGTAAGTAATTTGAATCGGGTCTATTAAATTTTAATTTTAATTTCGAATTTTCGCAACTAAGACAACCGGTAAATTAATTGGTACCGAAATGGCGGTTTAAGGGTGCTAATCCTTCCTTGACCGTAACCGACTCTCGAACCCGACACATTTCTGGTAAAACGCAGATCAGGTAAGATGGTGTCCGACCCACCTAAATTCGTTTTAAAATGGTCGGTGGCGACTCCAATCCATATTTTTCAAGTCGAAACCCAATTCAGGGGCCCAACCGAAAGACGTTACGACAGCTTGGCGACTCCACTAGGGACAAGTAAGTGAGTCAAGCCGAAATTAATTTTCGGTTGTCTTTTTTTAGCGAAAATTACAAGTTTAAATTTTAATTTATTTATTCGATTCCAATTATTTATCTTTGATTATTTTTTTCAAGTAAATAGTTGTACTGACGTTTTTTCAATGATTTCAGATTTTTGAAAAAGTTTTCATCTCTAGCTCTATACCCGAGCTTCGAACCTTTTTAAGTGGGGGTGAAAGCGACGCCTTCGTGTGAATTTATTCACCGTGCGGGCATAAGGGAATGTTTCCTCTCGAGTTTAACTTAGTCCACATAAGCTTGTAATGGGCTTAGGACTAAGGGTCTGGTAAGCCCAAGGGGGCACCGGCAAGGAGAACTCGGGTCCCATTTTTTAGAACCTAAACCGGGAGGCTATGGAGAATTAGAGCCCACCACAAAACCTCATTCCAAACCCTAGGCTGCTTTGATTCATGCTTTACTTTCTGTTCAAAGCATGCGAACTAGATAAATATGCGGTTAGGATTTGTGTGGAATTAGCATGCGGGATAGAGATCATGTCCGGGTAGGAATTAAAGCATGTGGGGTAGATATATGGGTAGGACCTTTTATTTTCAATATTATTATCTTTATCTTACTAACTCTTTTCAATTTTTCTCTCTTTTATTTTATTTCATCATCTGCATCATTCAAAAGAGGTGTTGACCCACACAAAAAAAACGTGTTCGTTAACCATAAATAATTTGCATTAATGGACAAAGGGGTTGTAATACAAGAGATGAAAAACACAGGGGTCGGCTATGGCCAGAAAAGGCTCATAAAGAAAATGAGGACAATTTGCAAGACAATTATGTGTCACATTCGATCAAGAAGACATGGTGCCCACAATCAAGTACATCAAAAGTTAACTTTTTAAAAATGGGTTGACAAAGGTGGCAGGGGCAAGACGATAAAAAGGTTAATGACCTCGAGAGTCCATTCAAAGACAACAAGAACAAGATGGCAAGTCACTGTCGACAAATTCAAGAAACAAGCAAATGAACTTCGGATAATCCCTTTGATGGAGGATTTCAATGGAATTTCCGATTCAGCAAAGGATGAAAGCCAGAGATGCAGTCATTCGACACTTTTTGGGAACCAGTACAAAAAACAACTCAACATTTTCATGGTTCATCCAGAGAGGCCGGTGTGGTTCAACAAGTTATTCAACCGGTGAAAGACGAAGGCAAATGAGTAGTCAACCTGTTCCGGGTCTAGAGGATTTAGTCCGGATGTACCTTTAAATATGTTTAGTGTCTCTTAAAAGATTTTGTCCCAATAAAGGTTATTTACAATAACAGACATGTTTTTGGATCAAAGCCTCGAACATTTCATGCATTTTTGCATTTTGCATCTATATTTTATTTTTAAGCATTTTTATAAACATGACATTTTCTTCATGGAGAATTCGATGAAGTGGTTTTAACCACATGGAAGCAAGATTGTAACATCAAAAGAAAAAACTGAAATTATAACGAATGAGCTCGATCAAATGGTTGTACGACTAAGCCTGCCAAGATATCTGAGAAAATAGTCCACATATCCTAAGGGTTACGATGTTGAAGCTGTTTGCAGTTGCCACATAGGATGCTCCAAACATTTCTTTGAGAACTATAAGGCGCTGAAGCGCGAGATTTAAAACCTGATGGGTTCAGGGGCACGGACAGCCGAAGAAGGGGTATTACATATATCATTTGCACTTATAGGATTGTTTTGTTTGAACACGTCTTTGATCTTTCATGTTCGCTAATCTTTTAAACGATTGAATTTATGTTACTTTCTAAGGTGGATCAATTGAACAAATCTTAATCTTTAGTTTTTCGAATATTAAATGAATTAAGGATTCTTTTAATTCTTCAAGAATTATGGATTTTTGACACATGACAAGGTTAGACCTTTCTTATCCTGTCTCAAACCCCAAAATAAAATATCTTGATTCTTTACCCAAAATAATTCGTGGTCATTACCAAAAATACCAAATTTTGACATTACCTCCCTTTGAAATTTTTTAATGCCTTTATCTTTTTGATACACCCATACCTTTCTTTGAGTCAATAAAGTCACATCATTGTCTTTTTAGACTCAAAATTGACATTTTTATACCATTAAAACCCAAGGCATTGAGTTGTTCATTTGAACATGAGCATTCTTCTAAGACACAACTTGGGGCATCTTGCAGGGAGCCTGAACATTAAGACATGTTGGGGGCAAGAAGCAGAAAGAAGAATTCACTCGAAATAATTCTACCATGCATTAATTACACTGTTTTCATGTGAATAAAATTAATCCTGAAAATCTATCCCCCTGGGGATACCTCTTCTGTGAGGACTTCCATGTATGAAATGATGAACGACTTTATTTCTTCATCCCTTCACAACAGGAGAAAATATATATCCCTTGTGTCCCCTTTTGAGCCTATAGTATTTTTCTTCTGATTCAACCTTAACCAAGGATCACCCTCCACACTGGGGGCAAGGTGGAGAAAATCTTCTCGCATGAGTGAAGACATTGATTCAGATGAGATACCGAAAGGTGAACCAAATGCCAAGTGCAAAGATTCAATCAGAACAAAAAGAAAAAAAAACAAAGAGAAAAAACAAAGGAAAATTGAAGAAAAAAGAAGACAATATGCATATGCAAAGATTCTCTCGATTCAAACGACGCATCAAGATTCAAACT